CGAAAAAAAAATATTTTCGTTTTCGAATTAAAAATTAAAATAATGGAAAATCGATAATTGAAAAGTAATTTTCAATTAAAGTCCATAATTTACAATTAATGTAATTAAAAAAAATTAAATTGAGAAAATTGAAATTCTTTGTCGTGAGAGATGTCAAGAACTTGATTCACATTATAGATTTTTCAGTTCGACGAACTTGGCTCTGCTAAAGTCATTGGCCTATAACAACGATAATTGCGCTTCTTAAAAAACGATTTCAGGTACCAGTACCTAATCTTACTCAAGTCACGCGATTTCAAATGACTAACGTTTGAATACTTGATTTCAACAATATTATAGGTCCGTCAATCAATAATTAATTAACCTTCATATATATATATATATTATTATAGATTAAACAATAAAAATATACACAATTTATATTCAACAGAATTTTCTTTAAAACCAAATTTTTTTTTCAAAAAATATATTTATCTCAGAGGTATTTAAATTTTTTTTCAAGTTAAATAAAAATTTCATTTGTGCTAAATAAAAATTTTTTTTACGTTGAATAAGATTTTATTTCTGCTAAATAATTTTTTTTATTTAAAATAAATAAAAAATTATATTACACTTTGTGGATAAATATATATATTTTTATTTGGCTTTCAAATAAATTTTGTCTCAAAATAAATGCCAATAAAATATTTCTCTGCGGTGTAGAAATTTTTTTTAATTAAACCGAATTCAATAGAAATTTTCCCATAAACAAATTTTTAAATAGAATAATTTTTATTTTTACATAGAATCAAAATTAATCGATTTATCAATCTATGAACTGTAGGTAAAGTAGATAATCGATTTTTGCGGTAAATTTAAATTAATTTATAGATTAAAATAATTATTTTCTCATACATAAATTATTTTCGTGTTTAAATTAGAATTTTTTTTTTTTAATTTTAATTCCACAAAAGTTGTGTTTGCCCAAAAAAATTTGATTTTTTTTTCATGGAGAAAATCCTCTAAAGTCTTTATTTTCAACTTTCGTAATTTTTTTTGTCAAAAACACTTTTTAGTTTCTACTTTTCTATATAACGTATTGCTACAAGTCTGAGCTAAAAACACACGCGAATGACTCTCATATATATTATAAGGGGAGCGTGCAAAATATATATATATATATATATATATATAAGGCGATAATGAAACTTCGTTTCGGTAGTAATTAGTGACTTTAAGCTGAAGTTATGTTCTCCAAAGATTCTCATTTCCGAGTGAGCAAAACTTTTCAGTCGGTCTACATAAAACATTCATAATTATCGTTTCAACTGGCAAACAATATAATTTTCATATAAAATCTTTCTATATTTACTCATTACGAAATCCATTTTTTTTTCAATTATAATTATTAGCACAATATTTGAAAAACAGAATTAAAGATTAATAATGTAATTAATTGAAATGACTTTGTTTTTTTAAACTTCGGACAGTTAATATTCTCAATTTTTTAATCAACCAATAAATTTTAATGATTCGATTAAAAATGAAAATTTAATTTAAAAGAAAAAAATTTATTTCCTTTAATCATAAATAAAAAAAAATAGTTTAAAAAAAAAAAAATTAATATTTACATTTTTTTCTAAAACCAGATAATATATGAAAAAAAAATCAGATACCAGCAGACATAGGGATAATTTATTGAACTTTGTACCGTAAAAAAATTACTAAAAAATATTTGTTATATTTTTAAATATATAATCATCAGCATTCGTTATAGTACAAATGCGATGATTCGCAGAAATCGATTATAAATGAAAAATAAAAAAATTGATATATATATATATATTTTTTTTTTTTCTTGTCAGAGAAAATAATATGTAAAACTTCTGAACCGAGAGAAAGAGAGGAAGAGACCAATATAACAAAATTAAACTTGTGGGTCGGTCGTGGTATTTGTTAGATACATCTCTGCACGAATTCAGAATAGGCATACATAGATCCCGCGTAGGTTTTAAGCGAATGCTCATTTCCACGGAATACATATATATATATTATGCGGATGGCTCGCGTGTGAATCATATTTTTCAAGGACCTTAATGAATACCGGAAAATTTGCCATTTTCTTTTTTTTTTTGCAATCTAATATCTGCAATTTTCAAACACAGGAAGTAGAATATCAATGTGTTTTTATAATTTTAAATTTTTTCAAAATTTTATTTTCTAATATTTAAAAAAAAAAAAAAATTTGAAAAATTAGGAAAATAAAAATTTTTCTATATAAAAAATCGGTTAAATAAAAGTTTCTGTTGAATAAATATATATATATAATAATTTATAATAATAAATTAAAATAAATTTATAATAATTGAATAAATATAATCAAAATGCAAGAAACTATATTATGAAATAAAATAATTAAAATAACAAAAATATTTATAATTCCTAAAAAAAAGATTTTTTATAAAAAAAAAAAATAAGTTTGCAATTAAAATTTTGAAAAATCTAATAATTTTCTAACAGAAAATAATATTGTGTTTTTAATAATTATGATTTACGTGAGTGAACTTTGTTTACATCCTTCTTGAGATATAAACCCCTAAGTATACAAGAAAGTTATACTGACATATAGGTGAACGATGCAAGTGTCAAAGTTATAACCCCATAAGCTAATGACTGTCCCATTAGTTGGAAGTTAATTTAAGGGATACGAGTGGAAGTACAAATGAAATATGTCGGTACAATGAGTGTCCGTAATACTTTATACTCTGGTCTCTACATTAAGCCACGTGTGAGTCATTCTCGTATACGAAAGATTTATATATAAATTCATAAAGGAAATGAAATTCAACCGATTAAATTCTTCTATTATTTTTTCATATTATATTGATTGCGTTAGAAACAAATAATTATATAGTAAAATGTAAAAAAAAAAACTACGATTAATTACCCATAAAAATTGTACGTAAATAAACAAATTTCATCTCTATCATTAAGCTCATATTAATAGTATTAATTTGGAAAAATTTATTATTTATAAATAAAAATACAAATAATAAAAGAAAAATAAAAATTAAATTAAATGTAATAATATATAAACAGAATTCCTATTTTCTTACAAGAAAAAAAAAACGAAAAATGGGACCGTTTGAACGGCTTTTTAATACTTCGAAGGGACCTTAAAGTGCCGGATGTGAATATTATGAGAGTAAAGGTGAAAGAAGATTTACGATTCAGAGAGATTGGACATTTTTTTAATTTACTTAATTAAATGCAAAGTGGATAATTGATTATGAAAAATCACACCTTCCTAGACCTTTTGAATATATAACCTTCAACATATAATCCTTTAAAAAAGGAAGTTTCAATAATTTATACAAAATAACTGTTAAGCTTGTTATAGAAATCACATTCAATTGAATGAAAGAAGAAGAGAGAAAGAGAGTGAAACAATTTGTAAACTATATCAAACTGTGAAAAATATTTGTAAATTTAAAAACAAAGTATTCTATTACCCATCTATAAATACAATAATTATATAATTTATTAATTACTTTAATTTTAATAAAAATATTAAAGTTTCTAATTTTTTTAATAAAATTAATTCAAATTTGTCATCTAGAAAAATTATTACCCTCCTCAAACGGGTAAAAAAAAATTTGCCAAAATAACTAAATACTTTACTAAAATAGCAAAACTATAACTATTTTATATAATAAACATTTTATCTGTTCCAGGAAATATTTATTTTCGCGCGTGCATCATAAAATATATATAGAGAGAAAGAGATGTTTGGAATATTTTCAATTCCTTAAAAAGTAAAATAGTAAAATAATATTATTCTTCAGATATAAGTATATTAAAAACTTTCATTGTCATATACATTTACGTCTAGATTAATGATTTTAGTTTCATTGTTTTACGGACAGGAGGAATTTTAATAAAATCACGTACAAATCATTAATCATTAACACACACGTGAGAATTGTCAAAAGATATACAGTTTTTTTTATAAAATATTAATCTGAATACTCAGATAATTAAATTAAAAAAAAAAAAAAAAAAAATAGAAAAAAGTAGATATATTGTTATAAATATTATATCGCATTTTAATTAAAAAAAGAAAAATAATCCATATGGATATTAATAAACAAAAACAATTTAAAATATAAACAATATGAAACAATAATATTTGTGATAAATTTATATCAAAATTACACAATCTGTTCTCAGAAATTAAATCGGTAGGTCATTGACTCAAAAAAAGAAAAAATAGGTTTAATTTAAATAAATATTTTATTTTACTTTTTTTTGTATATCTTTTCAATTAACTATGTAATTCTGCATCAACAATGAAATTAATTAATTTACTAAAATTTAATTTGACAAATATTTTTTGTATTATATAATATTACTTTAAAACATTTACGTACAATGTTTACAATTCAAATTATTATTCAAAAATTAATGTCATGTTTACAAAGAAAAATACATATTTCTAATTGTAGCAGACTGTTATTTTTTAAATAAACAAATTCTTAATCAATTTTTTAATATTTCTACCAAACAATCATAACTAATAATTTTTATTTAAATCCAATTAGAAACAATAAATAATAATTATCCAGTTAAATTCATTTTTAGGTTATGTCAAAATGAAATTTCACCAAATGTATATTAATTAATAGGAAATTCGTCAAATTTGATTATTTTTTTGAAAAATAAACTGCCATTTATTTATATTTAATAATTGATATTTTTAAAAAATCTCAACATTTCTAGATACAAAATTTCATCTCTATAAAAACATGTCATAAAAAAACTTGGAGCAGTTTGCTCGTGTTTTTATCAGACAAATAAACCTTTTTATAGAAACAAAACAAAATTGTTTATGGGAAAGTTGATGGACGAGGCCTCTTTGATGTTGGGGTCATGTAAAGGGTGGAGGAGTGTATTATATGTTGTAAAATAGTAACCACGAGGGTTTCACTTTTTTTTTTTTCATTTAAAAAATAAAAACTCACCAAGTAAGAGGAGCTTAAGTTCCCGCCTGGCATCACGTTTATCCCTCCTGAGTTGACGTTCAATCTCCTGGTTGATTCGTTTCTGTTCCTTGGCCTCTTCCGACAGGCAACACGCCATGATTCAGGGCAGTGGGATCCTCCTCGACGGGAGGAGGGTGTATGAGGGGGGAGGGAGCGACAGAGTAGGCCGCCCGAGCGCGACAGCCAGCGGGCACTCTTGATCGTCGTCGTCGACGTCGTCGCGGTCGCTTCGACGTATATTATCTTGTCAATGTGAAAAACACCAATTTTTTGTCTCGCCTTTTTGTCGCCGTTTTGCTGGCTTTATAGCCACTGCCACTGACCTTAGAACCCGCCGTTCCTATAATTCCTGATTTTTTTTTTTTTATCTTTATTTGATCCCCCAATGATCGTCGAATTTTACTATTTTTCTTTTTGACAATTATTTTCTTGATTCCCGTTAATGTTGACTTGGACCTTTAAAACCTATTTTTCCTGAAACACCTTTTTTTTATTTTTTCCTCACACATGCGGCGGAACACTCCTGACAGGGCTGAATGACGCCAGCGACACACCGACACACTGTACTCGGAGCAGAATATACGCGAACCGGTCACACACGCGTTTCCTCTAAAATCGCCGGCGCACCTTTTTCTTTAGACACTTTTATTAGGATGACCAGGACGTTAATTCCGGTGACCCGTCGACCACCCTGGTGGTCCTTGGGTCCCTCACCCTGCACACACACGCTTTTACTCGTACGCCTTCGTTCACTCGACTCCCGGCGCGGTTGGGTGTGGTAACCCACCGCGCGCGCTCTCTCTTCTGTCTGTCACTTTCTCTCTTTCTCTCTCACTTGCACACAAACACATAGACCACCGTTTTTCTCTTTTGCTGCTATATTCCGTGATCCACACGCACCAATGATTATCAATATGTATATATATATTTGAACATATATATATATATATAAACGATGCACTGTGTCACACACTCAAGTCACTACCAACCGCCATGAACTTCGCCGAAGGTGAAGAGGAAATCGTCTGCTGCTAATGCTCTCTATTCTGTTACTTCCCACACACGAACAGCCGGTGCCGAAGGTTTGAATTTGTTTAACGTCCCTGACTGTGACTCGGCTCTTTATCAAGCTTCGCTCGCCGAAAATCTTATTAGGCCAAACCAGATTGGTGAAGCCCAAGTAAAGATGACTCGTCGTCGAGGTAACACAGTCAGACGCGTTCGAGCGGCGCGCACGTGTCTTCACACTAACAAGATTAGAAAAATCAGCCAAAGAGAGGAGGCTGGAGCAGTTGCCACAATCTGCCGAGAGGAGGCACGGACGATGGCACGTACCAACTTCTCACTTTTTTTTTTTAGGTTAAAAAAGAATTATTGGCAACGTATTTACACACTTGGAGAGATAAAAAAAAAAAGTATCCACTTACAATTAGTCAAACTCTTCTAGTTCCTTGAATGTAAAAAAACCTTAAACGAACGTTCCTTGTTCTATTTTCGATTTTATTATTCCTTATCCATTTTCCCTTTTCTCACTTCTTTAAAAAGATCTCGTCTTTTTTTTTTCCTCTTTCTCTATCTCTCTTTTAACTCTTTCTTTCTCAAAGACTGTTTTTTGTGTCTCTTTCTCGACACAAGAAATTTACCTCTCTTTTTTTTTTTCTTTCCCCTTGACTTTGCTTGATTTATTCACTTGACAGGCTTCACTTTGAAAATACTTCAGTCCTTTTCATTCATTCATTAGAACAATCAACATATCACCACAATTGTTAATAACTTCTACAATCTGTAAAATAGTTTATAAAAAAAGACGCAATTACACACGCGAGATTAATCTACTATCCAGACGACATTCACTTCAATTCACTTACTCACACTTTAGTAAACCGCATTGTCGCAAGATGGCGCTCGATACAATTTTTGCCGGTTCCACCAGGGGCGACACTAGTGAATTTGGCACCCTTTCACTTATTTTTTTTTTGAATTTTCTGCAAAATTTACCAAATTTTATTATTTTACGATATTTAAATAATTATGATAAAATTTAACTAATCTTATTATGATTTTTTTTTAAATATATCAAATTTTTTTTTAAATCGAAAAAATAAATTCGTAATTCTTTGAAATAATTAATATGCAAATTATTAAATACAAATGTACTTTAAATTCCTTAAAATACAATAATTCATAAATATTTCAAATATTAGAGGAATGTTAAAAAATTATTATAAAAATAATTTAAATGTGAATATTTAAAAAAAATACTTAAAACCGAAAGTTTATATGTACTGAATATTATTATAATCTCAATAATAAATATTAGTTTGCACTTACTGGTTTTTTTTAATATCTACAATTATCTTGGAAATGATGAAGAAATACTATATTACTTTCTAAACCTTGGATCTTTTACCAAAAAAAAAAAAAATGCTTCTCTTTATATTATAATTTCATCATTAAGAATTTGTATATTTGTATAAAAAAAATTCTTTTTCAAAATCAGTGTCGAAGTGAAAATCAAAATCTCACTGAAACAAATAAACAATATCAAATCTGTATTAATAAAAACAGAATAAAAAAATAAATCACAAAATAATAATAAAATAACGAAAATAATAAAAATATATTAAAATTTAAATCTAAAATAAAAATTCCTTCTTAATTTTTCTAATCAAAGTTAACATAAAAAAAAAAAAAAAATTAAAAAAAAAGAAGTTTTGTTTCTTAAAAATTTAACTTCCATTTGAAGTTTTGAATTTAATTCAGCTAAAAATAATAACAAAAAATGTTTTTGTTGAAAATAAAAATGTACATAAGTTACATTTAAATTTAATTTAATTTTACTAAAGCTCTTCCTGCATCCTTGAATATCTGAATGTGAAGCTCAAGATCGTATGAAACACATAACTGAATTTTACCTTCAAACTTGCCAGTTCTCTTTGGTTTGAACTTGTAAAACAAACAAAGCCCTTGGCATCGATTTTTAAGCAGATTAGGATTAGGAGGGGCTTCTCGCTTCCTATAATTTGTAGACATACTTCCGCAGAATTGTGAAATTTAATACTTGGAATAGACCAAAGCCATTTTGTCACTTTTTATCGACCTTGCTCGATGAAACACACTTAATTCAATCTTGTCAATAATCCAATGATATGCATATACACATATATATAAAACATATACATTCATCCAGACGCGATGATTCAATAAAAAAATAATTGCACATTATAATACTATATCTAAAACAATAACAAAAAAAAATATATATATATAAGTACATACAAAGAAAAATAATAAATACAGTATACAAAAAATAATAGTAAATAAATATAATTCCCGAATATTCATGCAATAAATTTCAAAATATATTTCAGTTTTTAAAAAATAAAAAAAAATGAAACATAACCTTATTACTTGGATCGTTTGGAACTGGATTTTCGACTGGTTAAAATCTTCCTAGGATCGCAACAATGGTTCATTACAAACCACTAACTATTTATTATTATCGATACCTAATCGATACAGGCAGTAATTACAATTATATAAGCATTGTATTCGTTACTATCAATATAATTTATGCTAAGGTTATGGTTTTTCCAGTAGAATTAAACAACATGACGTAAAAGTGACAAATGAAATAACAATGGATAGCTAATACACTGATGCATTAATCACCTTATTATCATTTTTATATAGAAATTATTTTAACAGATTAGAATCAATTGATATTTCATTTTAAAATGTGCATAATTAACAAAAAAAAAAAAAGAAAAAACTTTCTATATACCTTTTCAAATTTCTGTATCTTTGTTCTTTAAATCGCACAGTTTGCGTTTGCGCCACTATCGATAATCGAAAATAGAATATTTCAATCAAACTTTCATAATTAGATACAAGAAAAAAATATATTCAAAAATTTTAAATTTTCTAATTACTTTAAAAATCTAATATCAATTATACTGATCAGTATTTTTTTGCACTAATTTTTAGGTTAGTAAACAAATAAATATCGAAAATTTGATTCAATATTCGATTCATATCTCGAAATAATAATCGATCATTAGTGCGCGAATTTCAAATTCAAATTTTCGAATAAGTCGGAAAATTTCATTTTTTATAAAAAAAATCGTAATTACAAATCGATTAATAATTTCAATAGTAGATTATTTTCCGATAAATTATTATTAATAAAATATTAATCGATATTTAATTAATAATACGGATTAATGTAACATTAAATTATTATTAAAATATAATTATGAATCGATTTGTAATTAATATTATATAAAATTAAATTATTCACAATAGATTACAATTCAAAAGTCGCAATGTAAAATCAAACTGTGCGCATTCTAGTTACTTTGATAATAATTTAATTAAGCGCAACTTAAACTAAAAAAAATATTTCACAATATTTTCGCATTGAAAGAAACAATATTTTATAAAATAAAAATGACTACATTCACAGGATAATCTTAAATAAATTCAATCCTTGGAAAATTTAATCGGAATGTTCTAAGTCTCGAAAAAAAGAACTTTAAAAAAAAAAAATATTAAATTTATTTCTAAATTTCGAGATTTAAAATTAAAATCAAATATAATTAATTCAAATTTAATTAAATTTTGAGATTAATTTTTTCCGTTTAAAAAATTATAAAAAGAAAATTATAATTTTTAGCATAATTTTCATTGTAACTACAATATGAAAAAAACAATTTTTGTAAATGAACAAATTTCAAGAATACACTGTAAACGTAATCATTTTGAATAAATAAATCAAGTTACATTTTTTCCGATGAATGTAACAAAAAAATGGATTGAACCTTCAACGCAAAAATATATAAATTTAACAAAAAGAACAATCCATAAACGAAGGTCTCAGGTCAAATTTTTCCTTTCTTACACTATATAGTGCAAGTAGCTCTAGATTCCTTACAACTGATAATAGTTGGAAAACCTGAACCATTATTGGAGGTATGTACTATTTTCAGCAGCAAAAAAAAAAAATAAAAAATAAATGACAGCTGCAATTTTTTAAAAATTGATATACAAAGAATAAGAGTTTTACGTAGATAACAATGTGTCATATGAAAATTGTAAATAAAATGTAGATATGCAGTCATTAAATAGATCCCATTAGTAGAATAATAAAATGCGTTTTCATCATACAAGTCTAATGTATGATAATGCAATATATAATGCAATCCGTTTCGATTCAAAAAAAAAAAAAAAAAAACAAATCTAAGAAGGTACGTTAATTGGAATTTTTAAAGAAAGTCATCTAATGGGAACTATTATTATTTTTTTTTTCGTTCACATTGGTGTTTTCGTATCGCAACGAATCACTATTTGACACTTGCGAATAGATAAATTGGACCACGATTAATTTGGCATCATCTCCGAATGAGAGGTGTTCTTTTTTTTCCCTCAAATATAATAATTATGTATATATATATAGCCTAAGATTAATAATTATTTCTTAAACGACGAATTCGGTGGCCGCAAAGTTATTTCATAAAATAGTCTTAAAAATTATTCATATCTATGTACAATTTTTTTTCTGTTTTTTTTATCTCTTTCATAAAATAGTATATTAATTTAATAATTATATAGATTTTTTTTTATATATATATAGTATATAATTGCGTTTATGTAGATAAGATGTATTATATTAAATCAATTAAATATCTCATTTGATTAGTGATTATGAGAGGACAATTCCATACTCTAATTTAAAAAAAAAAAAAGAAAAAAAAGCAGTGAATGTCAGTTGGCACAGACAGTGGCTGGTTAAGGCACTCTGGGCTTGAAATACTCGGCAGTACCCTCCAGCAAATACTATCTCAATATTGTTACGACGTTATATTTTACAGTCTCGAAATTTGCATTTTTTTTTGTTCCTCTTTTTTTTTTTTTCTTTTTCTTTTTTGAATCTTTCTATATTAATCTCCTTATAAATACCTTGACTGACTGCAAGTTTCTCACTTTCGGTAATAACATCGTTTCGACTACCTTAAAAAAATACGCTGTTTCTGTGAGCATTGGAGTGTACGTTGCACATTGAGCAAACCATTCACAGAGGCTTTGTAAAATTTGCCGGAAACATTCCCTTCTCATTGGCGCCTTCTTTTATTCCCATTAGCCATCCTTCCTCCTAAAAAACAGCAATTACAATAAATAAAATTTTATATTAAATTAAATATAAATAAAACAATAGTTTTTTTGAGAAAAAATTATTATTTTTTTTTTAGAAATTTTTGAAAAATACGAACCTGTTCTTCTGGATCGTCATATTCAATAACACGAATTATTTCACCAACTTCAAAGGAAAGCTCGTCAACGTCTTCACGATTATATTTGTACGTTGCCTTCACCCTGTAAAGAACTCCTGCTGGCAAGTTGTCGGTTGTCGCCCCTGTAGATAAATGGGTACCATTTTCATATTCCACCTCTAAAAATTATTGAATTTGCTGCCATTAAGTAACGATCTGTGTCTCTTTTAATATTCATTTTCTACAAGATCATGCACACAATGGCAGGCAAATTATAAAGTTTTTTTTTTCTATTTTTATTTTCAATTTATCAAAATTATATTCTAATTTAAAAAAAAAAACTCAATATGTCATAAAAAAATTAAATCAGAATTTTATAAAAATCTCAAAAATTTGCAAAATTAATTTTTATTTTGTTACTAATTTAAAAAATAATTATTGAAATCAATTTAATTGAGACGTGAATATTTATCAAAAAAAAAAATTACTTGCAAATTACAAATTTACTTCAAAAATTTCATTAAAAAAAAATATTTTACTATTTATGTTTTATTTGTAAAATTTTAATTTTGTAATTACCCTTGTATTCTTATAATTGTAATTATTGTAATCTTGTAATTATAATTTCCACAATTTTATAAGTATAATTATTTCTATTTTGCAATTGTGATTATAATTTTTTAATTACATTTACAATCTTATAATTATAATTATTTCAATTTTGTAGTTGTAATTGTAATTTTTATAATCTTAAAATTATGAACGTTACAATATTTCAATTGTAATTATTATAATCGTGTAATTTAAATATTAATATAAAAATAATATAACAATTGTAATTATTGCAATCTAAATAAAAACTGTGAAAACTGTTAATAAAATTAGTTACATTCAAAGTAATTACAAAAACAATAATTGCATTTTTTATAGCTTTTTTTAAAACAGATACCACACAAATTAATATCATTGAATTAAGATAATTTATCTGCAAACATTTTTTTAAATTTTATACCAAGTGAATAAAAAATTTAATACGATTCTTATTTACTCAAAAAATTAAATTGATAAAATTCTCGATAATAAACGAATTTCTATTTTCATTTTAAGAAAAAATATGATCGCAGACAAATTATCTTGTGTATTTTTTGAGGGTCAAAAAAAAAATACTTACCAACAGGTATATCGTACAATTCTTCTACTCTTTTGGCAGGTAAAATTGCATTTTTCGTGGACTCATCTTGATTATTGAGGGAATTATCATTGCTGTTAGCATTGCTGTTAACATTGCTATTAGCATTGCTATTGGCATTGCTGTTAGCATTGCTATTAGCGTTGCCATTTAATTGAGTTGTTGGCGACGAATCTCCAGTTGCTGCCGCTGTGGAATCATCCAAAGCTGTAACACGCAAAACAAACCACACTCTCAAACCACACAATTCAATTTTTCTCAATTATATAGCGTTACAATACACTTAGTCAATTTATATAAAAAAAATTTTTTTTTTGGTTAAATACGACAAAAAGCACAATTTTTCAATGCAAATTATTTGCGAAATTAATTTTACTTTCAATTTTTTTTTTTTAATTACCTGGTGAAATATTGTTGTGAGCCGGTTGTGTATTTATTATCAATCTGAAAAATAAAAATTGAATTATAAATTATTTATTTTAAAATTGACTACTATATTATTACAATAGAAATATGTATTTTATAAATATCTAAAATTATTGAACAAAATATGTGTGAAATAATTATTTAATTAAATAAAATTTGATAATTAAATTTTTTCAATGTAAAAGATAACATAAAACTTACGCAGAATTAGCATTCGGTGATTTAGGTGATTGGGAATCGGAATTATTTTTCAAGCTGTATGAACCTCTTTGACTGTCGTTTGCCAATTTATCAACTATCGCCTCGAGCTCCGAGAAAACCTGCATCAATCAAATAAATCATTAAAATCAGTAAAAAGTAATTATGATTCATATTAAAAATTAATAAAAATGTTATCCATTTAAAAATTAATTTAGATTTACATAATTTTTTCAAGTATAAAAATTTTAAAAAAATTTATTTACCTTAGCACTTTCGGCATGAAAAACTTGTTCCGCTGCAAAAAGAGTTTGAAGATTAGTGACGAGGAAAAGTACACGTGAATCGTACAAGGCTGGCAATTCGTCGTGCAATTCGGAATTTAATTGTTCATAGGTTCTTTTAGCTTCATCCAAGAGCTCTTTGCCCCTAGTGACTTTTAGCTCGTCCCTTTTCTTTGGATTACTTTGCAATGACTGGAAGGCATGCCTTTGACTATCGTAATCCACCAACTTTCGGCCTCGTTTGTCAACCTTTTTCTGTTTAAAAAAAGAAAATAAAAATTAAATTAGTTAAATAAATTTAAAAAAAAATTTTTTTTTAAAAAAGTGAAAAAAAAATAATTTAAAATTAGAAAATTGTATATAATTAGAAAACGAAGGAAATCGTAAATCTTACCCGCATTTCTGGAAACTGACTTTGATACGTATTTAGAGGTAAGAGCACTTGATCGGCGAGTTTGTGAGTAAAGTCTTGCCACAACATATCGAGATTCTGTGCTTGTACGTAAAGAAGATCGTGCCCAGTCCATTGACTTTCGTAAATTTCATTCAAGGAGTCCATAAGCGTCTTGGATGCTGCCTGCACCGCTGAAATCATATAAGTGCAAAACATTATTAGCAATTGCTCAACAATTTGCCCTTTAAACGCCAGTGCAAATGTCGCGAATTACCAATAGAGAGAAAGAGAGAGATTATACACATCGTGAAACGACACAAATATAATAACATTGATTAAACAAGAAATCTCTCTCATAAAAAAAAATATTTTTAATTATTATAATTATTATATAAAAAAAAAAAATAATAAAAAATTATATTTTATTTATAGCAATATTTATTTTCGAAATTCATTTATTTTCGCCTCAGAAAACAGAGGGGGATTTTTTTTTTTAAGACAGAAAAAGAATCACTTTCTTGACCTACTTTTACAACAACTGACAAAGTGCATTCACCTGTTACGATAAGACAAACACTTGTAAAATGAATAAATTATAGAGCAAGTTACAAAATAAATTACCAAGTTATGTTTTTGTAGACAATAAAACATTCAACAAATAACGAAGGTCGAGGAAGTGTTTTAAGTCATTTTAAGTACATATTCTTTTTCTTATAAAGTCTTATTCTTTTTATTTTTGCCATCGTCCAAAAAAAAAGGAAATTTAAATACTCCATCGTTTATTTAAGAAATTTTTTCATTCTTTTCTCAAATAATTATATATATTTTCTTTTCATTTTAAAAAACAAACTTTTAATCTTTCTTTACTATTTTAATTAGAAATAAAAAAAAATCTTTACAAAATTAAGTGATGTTCATTTTTTTTTTTTGAATAAGAAAAACAAAAAAATTTCCAATAATCAAATTACGTAAGAGAGGTTTTGTAAAATAGACGCACAGGTTTCAAATGACTTCTGACTCTTCTATAATGTAATAATAAAAAGAGATTGAAAAAAAAATTGAATACATGACACTTTTGAACTTTATGCACGATGGAAATCTGAGTTCTTTCTTGAAGAATTCTATAAAAAGAAACAGTTTATATGACAATTTATTTTAAATACACTCGTTGCAAATTTTAATTATAAAAAATGGTATAACAAAATAAATTTTAATTTAACTAGTTTTTGTCAATTAAACATTTTTTAAATAAAAAACATAAAAAAAATATTAAAAAAACATAAAAATATTACAAAATAGAAAAAAAAACTATTTTCAATCGATTTACTCTAAAAATAAAAATCGAACTTTATTGCCTATTTAAAAAGAAATTTGTCCAATGAATTTGATTTAGAAAGTAGACAATTTGAAATTTTAAACTTAGAGATTATATACTACATTATATATAGCTACTTTGTGCATTATTCATTTGAAAAACGTGGATCATGATTCCATCCAGGAAAGTTGTTTTCCGTTATTTTAGAAAATATAAATAAATTTAACGACCCTTTTGCAAAATTCATGAAAAAAATATATTGTATATAAGACAAATTAGAAACCAAAAAAAGTAATTAAAATAAAAAAAAAAATTTTTTTTAAACAATAAATAATCTGATCTTTTTTCCGAAAATTTCAAGGCAAAAAAAAATCGGTCAAAAAGTGACCTCGCGCTACTCACGCATTGATGTAAATCGTATTTAATATGTCAATTATTATTTGCTCAAGACTATTTTTATATAAATTTATTGTAGATTAAAAAAAAAATGTTCCCACAAATTCTTTTGGTGTTATAATTTTTTTTTTTTTGTTACTGTCAAGTGTCATTTTATAATAATAAAAAGGATAAAAAGAGTATAATTGAAATAATTCAACCTTATGCGAACATAAAAGTTTCTCTGTGAAAAGGGTCACGGTAACGTAAGGTTGTACACCTTTTTATATATATATGTGTATACACGTCAATTGACTCGTGTTTCATATGGCCGTGTTAAAATGTTTTGTTTCGCTCTATAAATAATCTCTCATCTTTCGCGCACTAGACAAACAGATGCAATTTTATCCAACATCCTCTCAAACGTAATTTATTAAGGGTATATTATTTTTTTTTAATTACGCCACCCCTTTTCACTTAGTGCACTGGAAAAAAAAAATTTATTTGATTAAAATAATCTGTTACTTGACTATTATTAAATAAATATTTATTTGAATAATGAATAATTTTTATTTTATTGTTTAACTCAAATAATAATTATTTCATACAAATAAATTTTTTTTTTCAGTTCCATAATTAAAAAAAATTGTTTTTATATATTAAAAATAAAACTAAATTAACAAGTTTTATATATTTTTTTTAAACAGTACATCCAGAGAAATATTTTATTGGTGTTTAATTGAGACAAGTAAAATTTATTTCAAGCATTTGTCTTACTCAGACGAATAACTTTTTATTTGTTTTAGATAAAAAAAATTTATTTCGCACAAATAAAATTTATTTGAAATAAATATTTATATTTGACTTTAAAAAAATTGTAAATAAATTATATAATGAAAATAAATTACATATTTGGCTTTGATACAAATAAATTTTTTCTCTGGATGTAGAAAGTAATTTTAAAAAATTAAAATATTTTTATAATAAAAAAAAATGTTTTTTTTTTCGTCTTGAAATTGCATTTATCGAGATAGAAAAAATAAAATTACCTCGCACACATCTGATGTAATTATTGAATTCCTTTTGAAGTCTAGTTGCAGCATATTGTTGCCTCGTGAAATTGAGAAGATGTTCATCGAATATATCATCAGCAGTTCTATCGACTTTTCCCAAATTTTGTAAAAACTGAAACAAAGAGAAAATTAAAATTAAAAAAAAAATCATAATTAAATTATTTTTTTTTTTTGTATAAAATTTGTATAATTAGTTGTAAAAATATTTATTTTACTATAAATAAAAATTTTGCAAAATAAATATAATAGTGAATATTATCCTAGAGAAAGAGAGAAACAAACTAAAAAAAGAAATTGATATTCAGAAGAAGTAAAAGAAATTTAATTAAATAGCCAAATACCAGTCTCGAATATTTTAAAGCAAATGGTAGAATAATAATAATGAGTGGGCGATTTACAAGGTAATATATATTGTTTAAGCGTGGGAGCGAGACTATATAAATCCAATGAATCTCCTTATAAGAATTGTTTTTCGTCTCCATAGAAGTAATACACGAAATCATTAACAAATAAAAAAAAATAATTTACAACTGAATTGATTTTTATTTATTCTCAATGCACCTAGAGAAATGATATATTTGTCTCAGAGCCAAATAAATATTTACTTGTTGCAAATAAATATTTATTTGTTGTAAATAAATTTTTATTTGTTTCAAAATTAATTTCCATTTGTTGCAAATAAATTTTTATTTAATTTAAATAAAAATTTTGTTTATTGCAAATAAAATTTTTATTTACGACAAATAAATTTTTCTGAGACAAATAAAACATTTATTTGGATGTGTATAAATATTTATTAATACATTCGACCAGGTGTACGACGTGAAAAACGATTTCCTTTCAATTTTTGAATTTACGTCATATTTATTACTATTTTCAGATCAACACACAAGATGGAAATAATCAAAGGCGAAAATTGATAGAAAATCTGCGAGAATATTACTCGAATAATATTTCTCTTATACGCACCGGAAACATAATAATATTTTCTATACACAATTTTAATTAAACAAAACAACATTTTTAGTTTATATTCATTAATAAAATTTCCCAAAATAAATGATATTAGAAAATTATTCACAAGAAAGAAATTATTAAATTAAAAAAAATTAAATAATTAATTTAATTAATATATAAATAAAGTTATTAAAATAATAAAAAATTATACAAACAAATAAAAGTATTAATTTTAATTAATAATTTTGTACTAAATTTAGTTACCAGTTTGGTTAATATTTTGATTTTATTTACAATATGAATTGAAATTGTAAAAAAAAAAAAATTAAAATTTTCAATTCTCTATCCCGCGTGATAAAGAATGACGTAATTTTTAAACGTTTTTTGTAAAAAAAAAGAGCTGAAAAACATTTGTCTAATTAATCACGGTTCACTTTAATTAGCATTCTTAAATGGACAATGATAAAAATGGAAATTGTAACCAGTTTTTTTTCAGACAACGAATTGTATATTATACAATATATATATATGTCAGCAATGAGGATAAAAATAAGAAAAAAAATTACTACAGATAAATTAAAAATCTTTTTAAAAAAATATAATATCATCTCTCGTGTGAGATAGGTGCGGGAAAAACAAATTATTATCAATAAGGTGTTGATGCCTTTGTCAGAAACAAATAAAAAAAAAAAAAAAAAAACATGATTGATTTTATGTCAATATTCTGTTGAAATTATCGTTTTTTTTTCTCCACTCATAATATCCTTTTAATTTATTTTCTCATTTTCAAACAAAACGAGAATGGAAAACAAAAAAATTCGAAAAAATGATAAATATTTATTGCGCAATATAATAAGGCGCGTGTCTTTGACTCGCTCAATAAAGCATGACATTTCGAAAGATGCATTTCTTCGATTGTAAAATTATTACATTAATGTAAAAGAAAAATGTACCTTTTATATATATAAGAAAATAATGTTTTTTTTCATTGTATATATATATATATAAAACCAATATTAATTGTCTGCTTTGGAGCATTTAATTTTCTCCGCACGCATTTTGCGATGTAAAACATAATTTCGTGCTCGCGAATAAAAAAAATTCTTGATTACCAATATACTATATTGTTTTTCATCAATTTATTTTTAATTCTCAGAATTTTCCACGATTAAACGAGTGTAACAAGAAAAAAAAAGAGATTTTCTATAAATGGCGTTTTTTTTTATTTATAATTAAAATGTAAATTTTCCGAAATAATTTATTGTTTTAATTAGAATAAAAACTGATGATCGCGCGCGACACAAAAGAATTTAATATTTTTCAGGTCGGTGCACCGTGAACAGTTTCCAATGGGAAAAATGCCAGAATTTTCTCTTTCGACACAAAATAATGCACAAAGTGTTACAAAATTGGAATATGATATACTTCCGTATAAAAATATCTTAGAAAGTTTACTATTTTTAAATTAAACTTAAATTTTTAAATTCATAACAAAAGCAACAAAATCTAATTTTATTTTTAGGTTTTAGTTTAAAATTAAATTAAATTTTTTTAATTTACACAAAGAAACAAAATTTCAGAGAACATAATTTATTAATTAATAATTAATTAAAAATTAATTTTAATTATAATATTAATATATTAAAATATTAATTATAATTATTAATTAATCTATTAATTATTATAATATAAAATAATTATTTGAATCTTTGTATTTTATATTATATCTGTTCTGTGTGTAACAGTTAAAACAGTTATGTCGACAATTCTCTGAAAATTAATTAAAATAATTGATAAAAAATAAATAAATAAATGCGGAAATAAAATTGCAAATTAAATCGCAGAAAGTAGCATTTGAAATAAAATATATATTTATCGAAAACAGAGTGACAATTGTATATATCTTTATAAGAACATTAGGGGCGCAAGCAGAGATAAATAATGTGAAAACAGGTTACTTATCAAATCACTTTAAAGTACATTCTAACATCTATTATAAACTGCAAAAAGAAGGTGAGAGCTACTTCGACCTTCTGTATCTAATGCATTTTGTACACAATGCCTCGGTTAAGAACTGTGTGTTTTAATGAGACACTTTATGTATTGCTAAAAGAACAATCCAACTATATATTTTACATACACTGAAAAAAAAACACTTTGCAAGACGTTCAAAAATTTACTTTTAATGAAAAGTAAACAAAAAAATAATAAACATTCCGAATTTGGTAAAAATTTACTAATTTTTAAAGGGAAATTAAATTTCGTATACAATTAATTTAAAAATTAAAAATAATTTTTTAATTAAAAAAAAATTTATAAATTAATTAATTTTATATTAAGAAATTTTTTATTGTCAAAATGAATAACGATTAAATATATATATAGAGATATTTTGCCATTTGAAAATTCGGCTGAATAAAAATCCAAAATTAAAAAAAAAATCATAATATTTATCCTATATTTAAAAAAAAAAATTTATTTGCATTTATATCAGACAAATATTTATTACAATCAAAATAAAAATATATTTGTCTCAGAGCCTAATAACTTTTTATTTGTTTTAAATAAAAAAATTTTATTTAGTACAAATAAAAATTTCATTTAGCGTTAATAAAATTTTTATGAAAATAAAATTTATTTGCAACAAATATTTATTTGGCTCTGATACAAATATATCATTTGGGTCTAATATTAGAAAAAAAAATCTTTCTTTTTTTTTTAATCTAATTCATTATCTCTGTACAGCTATCACAATATTTGGCTGAAAATTCTATCGATCATTATATTTGAATGAACAAAAAAAAAAAAAAAAAGCCGCATCATTTTAAAATTGATGTCGAATGGAATTTGTATGGAAGATCGTGTGGTGCCCCGTTACTTCGGCCACGACCTTCCGCCTCGGGAAAGTTAAAACCCGTATCAATGCCCGCAGCAAAAGATACCACGGTCGTACCATATAATCGAATAGGTTTAAAGGCAGCTTTAAACGGTTTTCTGCGCGCGAGAGCTGATTTCCGCCACCCTGATCGATATTTTCTTTTGCTCCAAAAAAAAAAAAAAAAACGTTACACACGCATCACGCATTGATTAATATTATAATACATTGATCAATTTTTTCTCTCTCGACCCATTAATATATATTTAATTAGAAAATACAATTGAATTTTTTTATGACAAATTTTTTTTTTTAAATTAAATTTAATTAAATACTTTGTTATAAATTCATAAGTTATAAAAAAAAAAATTAATCGGTTACTTGACTATTATCAAATTTATTTGAACCAAATAAAAATTTACTTGAACCAAATAATTTTTTTATTTGAATTAATTAAATTACCAATAATTTCTGTATTTGAAACAACAAAAGTAAATTCCCTTTTTTTGTGGAACATTTGTTTTTTTAATCAATATTTGTAACATTTACAATAAAAATATTTAAATATAGTCCCGCATAATAGATATTTGGAGCAAATGTGTTTCGAAAATAAAGTATATAATTAATTTCACAAAATAGTCTTAAGTTAAAATAGCTTTCTGTCAACACAATTTTCTATAACAGAAGATTGATAAACGATTTTTTGTTCCACTTAAAAATAGGCATTGTTATTCTAAATTACAAAAAAATTAAGAATTTTTTTCTTAATTCTATAAAAAGAATTTTATTTCAAGAGGAATGAATTATTAAAATTCGAATTTTCGACATATAATTAGCGTATGATCAGCACACAACAAGTAGTTTTAATTAGATAAAATCAGTCTTAAAGGAATTTAGTTGTTTTTTTTTTGCGTTCGGCCTTGCATTACATATAAGATATGTTAAACGAATAACGGTTCTCAGACATGTTACCAGCGACAAAAAAAAAAAAAGATAAATCCGCCTCGAATAGGTAATTGTAGTCAGATCAGGCAGTAGGTCAGATCCTCAATAAACCGACGACTTTAATTTTAACCAAATACTAATTAGGAATTACAAAAAAAAATATACCTAACGCAAAATAGAAATTAAAAATGTTTACCAAAAACAATTTTATTAACTCGTAAATTTTCACTTTAAAGAAATAAAAGAATTTTCTTTCTAAGTGAAAATTAACATTTTTCTCTATGATAAAAGAAACGCTCCTATAAAAATATAAAAATAGGCAAAGATTCACCTTC